GTGACTTCATGGACTTGTGCCATGTTTTGGTCTGGCCGCCCCTAGCTTTCTTCCAACCTACTCCTATACCACTGAACATCGCACGTCGAGGCAGTCGGTCGTTGGGCATACGTAGCACGTGTCCCAGTCATCCCAATTGATGAAGTTTCACTACTTCATCAATTGATTTGCCATCCTTACCTAGTACCCGTTTCCTAACAACTGCGTTACTTACTCGATGGTCCCAGGTCCCAGATAGTAATTCACAAAAATAGATAATATATGATCTTTCATCTCTTTTTTTAGATTAATAGAGGAGTCTTAAGTAAATAAATAAGTAGAACTGGTGAGGTTAATTATTTTCATTTTTACACGACGAATACACGAGCAGACTTTCAAGAATTCATAAATTCATTTACAAAATAAGTCAGTTAAATAATCATTTATTACGAATTCATTTTTGTATTGGTTGTTTGAATTATTTATGTTTAGGACTGCAGCTTATTAGTCTTTTATTGGTATATGTGAATCCGGCGAAGATTGCCTTGATATTGACTTAAATCACAAGCATTATAAGCGAAGATGGAAGATGGATAGCTAAATGGATAACGAGATGGCGTTTGAAACGGATGGTACTGAGTTCGAGTACCGGGATGAACAGTAACTTGGATGTAGATAAATTCAGCTGATAGGTCCCAAGTAGACGGAACACACGTTCTGGATTCCATTGTTAGCCATTATTCACTTCTGCTTATTTAGTACTAAGATGAATGGAAATAGTGAGAATCAGTACAGATGAGGCACACAGTTCTTGACTCCGGCACTAAACGAAATGAGTTAAATCTAAATATATCGCCCTGTTAAAAAATGACCCAAAATAACGATTGATATAGCCTGGTTACCACTGAATACCCGGTTTTCATTGTAAGCACTTATTTCATATATTTAAGAGAATAATTGTAAAATATGCAGCCTTAGGTTGATGTTCATATATCAGATTTTATGTAAACATTTCAGATATTTCAAGTGTTAGACTTTTAAATAGAGGAGTAAATTTTAGAGTCGATAAGTGGTATTGGGATGGTTCCCAGAAGGCTAAACGAAACCTTCTAAGGGGGTTGAATTGATTCTATCCAATCACAGCCCTATATTCTCTAGAATACCGATGTGACATGCTGTGATATGACAGTTGTATAAATTTACTACTTGCAGACTGGCTGGATTAGAATGATGTTACAGTCTATACCGAAAACTATAAATATGCATGTTTTCCTGTACATTTTGACACTTAAGTGCACACTTCTCCTGTTTGCTATCTTTAACTAGTGGCTTGAGGGTTTTTGGACGTCAAAGTGTCGAAATCGTTTGCCATTTTAGCCATAACCACGTGGTAGACTTAAAAATGTTAATAACATAGTTTTATGTACACTATGTTGACATTCATTTTCCTTCAGTTTTCCCTTTTGTTTTCCAAATTTAACTCGGAACAAAACTTCTTACTCTACATTAGCTAGCTTTTATATTTATGCAAAGTATTACGTTCATGGTACCAAGTAGATGACTTGATTCCAACTACAATACATTAACGTTACATGTGTAGGTCGCGCTTTTAGCTATCTTCATGTACTGATCGATTTCTATCTACTTGAATACGTTTTGGATAGATCCAGGAACTTTTATTGTACACAACTTTACTCAATATCTATTACTTATCCTACTAACATGAAAAGATTGATCACATTTGTGTGATCAGATTGATATAAAAACCTGGGTTATTATTGTATCAGTCCAATGATATATTTGAAAAATCTTAGATAAATTATAAAGATAACTGAAGAATGAAGAAACAGAAGTGAATGTATTTCTTCTCCATAAAAATCATATAATCACCATTCCATAAAGTATTATTAAGTCATTTATGTACTTTGAATAGAGAAAAAAAAACAAAGATTTAAGTAGAATATTATGATCTAAAGGCGGACCGATATGTCCTTGGTTCGAATTCTGCGATGCGGGATCGTGGATACGCACTGCTGAGGAGTCCCATAATAGGATGAAACGGTTGTCCAGTGCTTCCAGATTTTCAATAGTGGTCTAGCTTCAATTGACTCAGGAATTCAATTATTAAATTGCTATAAATGCATTAAGCTATTTACTAAAGATTTAAATATATTAATGAGACTAAATTGTATAAGGAATATCTTCCTATCATGCTAATAGTAACAGAAAAGAGCCAAAAGACTAGAACTAAGCGGTTACGTAATCTCATTGGTTAAGATCATGAGTCAGTTGAAGCTAGGCCACTATGGAAAACCTGAAAGAACTGAACGGCCGTTTCTTCCTATAATGGGACTCCTCAGCAGTGCGCATCCACGTAATCAACAGATGTTAATGTTAAATAAAAGTAAACTGAATAAAGTTTAGTTAGTTAAAAATGAATGAACTAGAAAAGAGTGAGAAAATTGTAGTGAGGACTTAGAGAAGTAAGATGAATTCATGTTAGTTTGCCCATTTTCTTATTTATGACGAGAGAATAATTTATGGACGAACCAATCAGATTTAGGATATCAGGTCTGGATTTTGGCTCAAAATTTATTCACCTATTTGGCTAAATAATGTTTTAGCATTTTAGCTGATGTCAGTTCATGATGAAACTCCGCCTGGAGTCCCTCCGGGGGCTACTGACGGTCCCAAACCCGGATAAAGGAGGAGGATTGGGCATGGGGTTAGCGTCCCCATCCCGTAGAAAACTAACTCGCTAAAAAAACGCTAACCAGAAAGAATGAAACAGTTCATGATGAAAACCGTAATTCTAATTCCTAACCCTAACCATTAACTGTAGATCACAATCTTAATTCCTCACATTGATTTGTAACGCCGATTTAGTCTTAGTAAGTAGGTGGGCAATCTCAAAGTTACTTTGGCATCGCTCAAAGGTCGTCCATACATTGTAATTTTACAGTTTTTTGTTCTAAATTTGCATACGTCTAATCCAACCGTGGTATCAAGTGACGACATGAGATTTCGTTTACTCGATTTCGTATTACGTCTATAATGGATGAAGAGATGATTCTAAGTGGTTGAAGAAAGATCTCATTGAATGATTATTAGTAAAGAACTTAGAATTCAACAGATAATACACTTATGAATATGATTCTCTATAGAAACAAATGATCTAACAACAGAATTCCATACTGAGTAGAACTATACATATGCAGTCATAATTATGTTGAAATCTTTAGTAATTCAACGTCAGAAAACAAATCAGCATGCTATTACGATAAAAAACTATAAGAAATATACAATTTCCATAACATCCTATACTGATCCTAATCAAAATATTATACTCAGTGGTGACTGGCTTCAAACTGAAATTCCTTGAATCGTACAACGAAGCCACAACCAGTGGAGTACAACTATGTCGAGTATAAGATAGTTATCCACCGAATACAATCAACGAGGGTTGTGGGATTCTATGAATTGACTGAAACTATACAGTAACACGATTGGATACCGTCTCAATGATCTAGAGTTTAAATGTTTGTGTAAGATGTGAGATGATGGATTGGATTCCATGTAGTATGATTATTTCCGAATAATGATGCTGAGTTTCATACTAATACGAATTTGGTTATTCAATGCTTCCTAGTTTTTAATAATGTTTTAACTGAATTTAGTTTCTTTTTGTAAAAGCTATGAAGATTCTATAATCGCCATAAAACTCTCTATCTCTTGAACTGTCAAATTACTTAGGTTACTTTTATATTCAACACAAGTAGTATAATAAATCAAGGAAAATAAAGTTATACACATTCAAATATATATACTTGCTTACCGTCTATATTTGATGATAGAATTAATAGTAAGTGGATAATTATAATTAATCCAGTCATAATGTTAAATTATACTAATGAAACAATTACTAATATAAATGGTAGTTACATATAATCTAGTTATAAATATCTATCAAGCAGAATGATATAAGTAGGCAAACAAGCAGTTAAATTAGCCAATCAAATGAAAGATTCCAACCTAATTGACCTTGGTCAATTATTGTTTAAATTAAACGTAATATTAATTAATCTAAGGATAAATATGATCGTAATTTCAATAGTTGAGATCATGAGTCAATTGAAGCTAGACTAACATGGAAAACGTGAAAGTACTGAACGACCGTTTCATTCTATTGTGGGACTCCTTAGCAGTGTGTATCCACGATCCTGACCCAAGCGAGATTCGAACTCAGGAAATATCGGTCTCACGCGCGAACGCTTAACCTCTAGACTACTGAGCTGGCCAATATCCAACAATAGGACAAAATGGTCGTCCAGTGCTTTCAAGTTTTCCATGGTGGTCTAGATTCAATTGACTCATGATCTCAACTGTTGAAATTACAATAATATCCACAAAAACCCATTCTGATAAACATTGTGGTTAACAAAATTTACAAATTATTCATTTATTAACTACTCTGACTATGATAAGTGTTTTGATGTACAGTGTCTGAAATCTGATACTGATACATGGTATACTATGTGCTAAGCTTTCAGTTGACTACTTGGGTGAGAACATAAGAGTGAGTGAGAAAGTATATTGCTCTATCGAATGAAATGCACTTGACCTTAAGATCACGCAAGATTCTCAATATCCATTGGTCGAATACCATAAGTAACAGCCTTTTGTGAGAGAGAGCAATCTAGAATCCAGTCGAAGAGGAAATTAAGAAAAGACGATGGAAAGGTATGGGACATACATTACGGAAATCACCAAACTGCATCACGAGGCAGGCCCCAACTTTGAATCCTGAATGGAAGCGGAAAAGAGGAAGTAAATAATAAGAAAATAGCGAATTTCTGAAAATCAGGAAACTATATGATCATTAAAGATCAATGATTGTATTGAACGTCAAGTTAGGTGTTTTAGCATCTATTATGTGCTATCGATGTACTTTAGAATAATTGTCAGCTTTTGAGTAAGTTGTAGCCGTTTAACTTCGAGTTTCGTAGTATTTATGCTTAATGATGCCACAAGTATTTGGAGTTTGACAAAACTTTAACCAGTAACACCTTTTATGATCGAAACATATCCACCCAGTGAAATCAAAATTTAGAAGCGAAGAGGCTCGAAGATATATTTGATAGGTTATCAATATATCGGGAAGTGACTGATCTAAACTGGCTAACGGTTGTAAGATAAGTTGAACACCGTGTTCCCACTTGTGATCTGGTTCAGACTCGTGACCAAGCACCTTCAGCTAGGTCAGTCACTTAAACCAATGTGGTCACAATCAAATGTCGAAAGATTACAGAGCTATTGATTTTGGCGATTTATTTACCGCAAAAGATCACACCACCATAGTGGGGTATTATTAATCTTAAGACCTGGCAGTTTGTACTAAATTACACCAACACATTTGATATTTATCGTAAAGACGACAATACGGAATACTACTACTACTACTACTACTACTACTACTACTACTACTACTACTACTACTACTACTACTACTACTACTACTACTACTACTACTACTACTACTACTACTACTACTACTACTACTACTACTAATACTACTACTACTACTACTACTACTACTACTACTACTACTACTACTACTACTACTACTACTACTACTACTACTACTACTACTACTACTACTACTACTACTACTACTACTACTACTACTACTACTACTACTACTACTACTACTACTACTACTACTACTACTACTACTACTACTACTACTACTACTACTACTACTACTACTACTACTACTACTACTACTACTACTACTACTACTACTACTACTACTACTACTACTACTACTACTACTACTACTACTACTACTACTACTACTACTACTACTACTACTACTACTACTACTACTACTACTACTACTACTACTACTACTACTACTACTACTACTACTACTACTACTACTACTACTACTACTACTACTACTACTACTACTACTACTACTACTACTACTACTACTACTACTACTACTACTACTACTACTACTACTACTACTACTACTACTACTACTACTACTACTACTACTACTACTACTACTACTACTACTACTACTACTACTACTACTACTACTACTACTACTACTACTACTACTACTACTACTACTACTACTACTACTACTACTACTACTACTACTACTACTACTACTACTACTACTACTACTACTACTACTACTACTACTACTACTACTACTACTACTACTACTACTACTACTACTACTACTACTACTACTACTACTACTACTACTACTACTACTACTACTACTACTACTACTACTACTACTACTACTACTACTACTACTACTACTACTACTACTACTACTACTACTACTACTACTACTACTACTACTACTACTACTACTACTACTACTACTACTACTACTACTACTACTACTACTACTACTACTACTACTACTACTACTACTACTACTACTACTACTACTACTACTACTACTACTACTACTACTACTACTACTACTACTACTACTACTACTACTACTACTACTACTACTACTACTACTACTACTACTACTACTACTACTACTACTACTACTACTACTACTACTACTACTACTACTACTACTACTACTACTACTACTACTACTACTACTACTACTACTACTACTACTACTACTACTACTACTACTACTACTACTACTACTACTACTACTACTACTACTACTACTACTACTACTACTACTACTACTACTACTACTACTACTACTACTACTACTACTACTACTACTACTACTACTACTACTACTACTACTACTACTACTACTACTACTACTACTACTACTACTACTACTACTAGTAATTATAATAATAATAACACTATAGAAGTTAACCTTCTGTTAAAGTTATTATGAATCTATTTAGAATAATAATTAACAAATAATGATTGTTATTAATAATTATCACAGTTAATTGTTTTGCAATGAAAACCATGATTGATGTAGAATTAGGAAAGTTTTCCATTTAAAATAGAATTATGTCGTCAAGGTTATGAATAATAATAAACCGGAAATGAATAATTTATATAAACTATATTTTATAGATTTATTTATGTATAATAGGGCATACGTTGTATTGTTTTGTTTAAATGTAATCAGTATGATAATTTCATTATTCATATAATACAATCATTATGACTAGTATAAAGTAGAACTAATGAATATAATACATTCCATAGTTTTGTACTATTAATTCCCAAATTTCTTCCAACGTACTGTTCTGTATAGACTCTTCAGAATATAATGTATCTTTAGGATAGATGCTGTTAAATATTTGTGCTTCATCGATTGGTGATGGGATATATGCTAGTAAGGCAGTCTTAGATATTTTATTGAATAGTATATGATATACGATTGTAGAGATATTAAACTACATATTGAAAGAAAAAGAAAAACTACATCTTGGGCTCATATTATTTAAAGTACTTTAAGAAATTATAGAATAGTGAACTGTGTATATCAAACATTGATTTCTAACACTGACATGAAAATATTGACATCTTTCATTAAATACATTGCAGCCTAGCCTTATGAGTAGGAGGATCAGATGCAGACATAAAGACGAGGATTGACAAAGCAAGGGTTGCATTCCAACAGATGAAGAACATATGGAACTCAAAACAACTTTTAACCAATATCAAAGTCAGAATCTTCAATACGAATGTCAAGGCAGTTCTACCGTACGGAGCTAAAACTTGGAGAACTACAACAACCATCATCAAGAAGGTGCAAGTATTTATAAATAGCTGTCTACGCAAGATACTCAACATCCATTGGCCGGACACCATCAGCAACAGCCTTCTGTGGGAAAGAACAAACCAGACTCCATCTGAAGAGGAAATTAGGAAAAGACGATGGAAATGGATAGGACATACATTACGCAAATAAACAGACTACATCACAAGGCAAGCTTTAACTTGGAATCCTAAAGGGGAGAGGAAAAGAGAAAGGCGAGAGAACACGTTAAGTCGTGAAATAGAATCAGGTATGAAAAGGATTAATAAGAAATGGATTGGTTGAGACAGTGTTGGATGGAGAGTGATGGTAGGTAACCTATGCTACTCGACGAGGAGTAACAGGCGTAAGTAAGTAAGTAGCATTATGAGTCCAGTTTAAGTGATATATCTATGAGGTTTATAAATTCCTGTCATAAAATATACTAGTTGTTTAAATTCGAGGTTAACTATTCTCTGAACGGAAGCGGAAAAGAGGGAGGCCAAAGAACACATTACGTTGGATAATAGAAGCAGACATGAAAAGGATTGCCCAGGACAGGGTTGGATGGAGAATGATGATGAGCGGCCTATGCTCCTTAACGAGAAGTAACAGACGTAAGAAGTAAGTAATTCTCTGTTGCTAATGAATTAAAGTCTTTGAATACATTGTATTTATTTACTTAATTGAGTAGCCCAACTTTACAGTAATTAGCAACTGATATTTCGATCCTGGATTACTTTCATAAAATGGTTAGAGTTACGATTTTGCAATCAATTCTTGAACAGTAATTAGGTTGATTATATATCAACATTTCAGGTGGCTGTGCAATGATGCATTTATTGCTTTATATCAACTCGTCATTTATATTTCTACATACTCTGAATAATCTTAATGTATGGTTTACCCTATTACTCGACCTACTAGGATCAATAATTTTCACAGTATGCTTTAATATTGCTTAAAAAATCTCATTTCTATTTATCAGTAGTTCTTTACAGTTTCGGGTTTGGAAGTGTTTTGTGATATTCTTGTCACACTCTAATATATAATACACCGAGAAGAACTGTTGTATTTATATCTCATATTTACAATCCCGAATGAAGATGGTTTTACAATATCATGAAGTGATTGGAGTCAGATATATAAGCCAATGGCTTTGGACTAGTACTTCGAAGATTAAGCGGTTTCAGCGAGACTCACAGGTCCTGGGTTCGATAACCAGTTGCACGGTGGATGTGTACAGCTCAGTTTCAAACTAGGATAGTAAAACATACAAATGCGCCCTGATTGTCCATTGTTATCTAACATTTACAAACATCAGTTCAACTTAAAAGTAGATACGTAGTTGGCTTTGTATCTTACCTATGTATTTAAAACACCAACATTCGATTTAAAAATTAGCATCCTGATATCATCCTAGGAAAATGTTTGGCTTAGTTCAAATGAATCAATTACGTTAAGCTATACAACGCGTAATCATACACGACCAAATTATCTATATCCTCAGATTATCAATCATTGAAAAAACTTACACATTATTTACAGTACAATGGGGGCTGATATAGCAGAATAGGTTTTTAAAATACACACATATAACTAAAAATCGAATGCTGAAGTTATTTATTTATGAATAAATAAACATTATCAGTTTGTTACATGTTATTAAATGATTCACACTCCCTAGTTTCAAAGAACTAAATTGTGAATGAGATCTTTGAAAACCAACTGCTGTATACTTCGCTAATACAGTAATATGACAATAAGAATGGTCTAGTTGGTAGTACCGCTAGATTAGATATTCGAACGGTATACTATATAGAGACTAAATCACGCTATATTAGGTACACGATTCATGATTAAAATAGAGAACCAGATTAAAACCACACAATACTTAATTCCATACTAACACAAGCAATGATTCGGTGAGTCAGTCAGTCGGTAACAACGTGGAACTTCGTACGTATGTTCATCAGTTCAAGTTGCCATACCACATTAGCACAGAGATGCGCCCCCGAATGCCCTGGTATGGCTGAGAGTGGGGAGGGCCCGCCCTCCCTCTCAAAATACTCTCACATGGCCACGCGTACACAGCCTCTGCCAGGGAAGTCTTACTCACTGCCTTCTCACACCAGGGGTGTTGTTTACGAAAATGAGAGGACGAAAAGCGAATATCTGGTGCTTTAACCGGATCCCAAACCAAGGTTGCACATGGGCTCCAGTATCCTGATGGAACAAATGGCGTATGAACCAATCATTGGTCACCAGCTACCATGGGACTGCATCTCCTTACGATGCTCCACTGCTTTGTGGGTTGGACCTTTAGGTCAAAGGCTCGGGGTGTGGCCCCCTAAGTAAACCGCCTGCCTCGGTCTGGGCACCCGGGCTGTATCACAGCCCTCACACAAATATGATGAACTGTCCGTAATCATGAAAAATACTTTTCTTGCTTCGATTAATAATCTAACGATTCACATTATTATTGTTATTATTACTACTATTGTTATTATTATTATTTACTACGTCATTTATTCACTCACTTTTATTCACACTCTGTCTATCCTTACTTTTCGACTTATACGGCAGCTCGCCTATGGTGAAAATTCGGCTCTATTTAAACGTTCTTGAGTCACTGCCTGGTTGAAAATTGTATGCTACCACCGAATACGAATACTGAAGCGGTTTTTCTGCACCATTCAAACTGGTTGCCTTCAACGTTCGCACACTAGTGTAGGTTGTACAACAGATAGGGCTGGCTATGTCTTTGGAAGGTCTTAATATCGATGTCTGCTGTCTATCCGAGACCCGTATTCAAGACTCTGGTGAAGTACTACAAATTCGATCTCCATCTGTCGCTTCAAAAAGCTTGTTTTACATGCGCTTATCCGGGGACCCTGTGGCATCTTTGCAACTGAACCCTGTTTTTTAGTTTTTTTTTCTTTTTATTATTTGTCTTCATAATTCCACTATTGTTATTTGATGTTCACCATCCTATTTCTATACAATTTTTTAACTCTAACCATTTTCTTGATTATATCTTTTCTGATTATTACTTACTCTTGTTTGGGTTTCACTATAGATAATAATTTCATGACGTACTGAAAACTTGGATATAACAGAAAATAATGAAACAAAAGATATTATCATTCATACTTTATTTGCTAAGTTCCTGTCAACAATTTGTATATACATCCAAATGCTACATAAGTGTTACACCTAAAACATATTGTTTAACACTGAAATCATTAGTTTCATCGATTTCAATCATTTATATTTATAAGCAATGATGAGTAGCGGCCAGCAGTGAAATCCAGGATGAGCGTTTCGTCCTATTTGGGACTCGTCAGAAGGATGTATCCGCACCTCAGAGTTGATGTTCACTCTGGGACTCGAACCCAGTACCATTCGCTTCAAACGCCATTACGTTATCCACTCAGCTACTGAGTCCTGATAGCCACTTTCTTGTGCAATGGGGTGGATTTAAATCCACTTGGTATTGTTTGGCTTGTATCTTCCCATTTATATTTATATTTAGGTTGATATTTACGACAATGAAATGTAGAGCTCACGTAATAGTTAATTAGCTCTATGTTTTTTTCACACATATTATGATGAGTTTTATTGTTCTGAACGACATCTTCAGAACTTTTACCAGAAATTTAGCTCAGAGAATATGCCTTGGTCTGTGTCAATCTTACCTTACTTTTCAGTGGACAACGAAGTGACCGCCACCAATGGATTGATGTTAGCAAGCTGGTTGCAACTTCTGTTGCAAGTAAGTATCAAACTGAGCTAGCTGCTAGGCTAGCTACCATTCCACCGAAAAGTATGGATGAGCATTGGTTGCAACTGCATGACGCCATGAAAATGGCGGATACAGTCGGTTGTGGGTTTGCGAAACGTCCCGCTCTTCTGGCTCCTTACAACTCATTGAAGCCCGTCGGTCTACTCCGGGTGACCATGAGTTTGACCACAAACGAAGGATGTTACGTAAGGAAATTGGGCAAAGCTTGCGTAAGGACCGAGAAGCCTGGTGGTCGAAGCGTGCTAATGAGCTGGAAGCAGCAGCTGCATCTAGTAATTACCGGAAGCTCTTCCAACTCATCCAAGCCACTGGCAGCAAGAAGTCTGATGTGAGTGAA